ACAGATGACACGTGAAGAGGAAGAGGAGGAGGAGAAGGTAACATTTAAAATGAAATGAATGAAAGAAAGAAAGAAAAATTGAATGAAAAAAAAAAAAAAAAAAAAAGAACTATATCGCTTAAAAATAGGTGAATTTAGAAGTTAGCCTAGGGTAGCCTGAGCTAGAATAATGCAAAATAAATAAATAAAAAATAATAATAAACAATTAACAATTAAAACAATTAGATAATATTGTATTTGATAATAGTCATACGGTAACAGAAAAAAAAAAAAAAAACCAGAAAAGAAGAAAAAAAATAATAAGAGAGCGTAATTTTCAATGCATTTTTCTTGTCGACTGATGAAGGTTCGTTCCCAATTATTCCAAATAAAAGAAAAAAAAAATAAAAATAAAATAAAATAAAACGTACTCTCTCGATTTATCATACGCGCAACCAACAACAAAAGATGAAGATGAAGATGAAGATGAAAAAGAATATAAGATAATTTAAAAAAAAAAAAAAATACAAATTAATAATCCTATAATCGCGTTTGTACTGTTCAAGGCCTATCGGTCAGAAAACAATTTCGCACGAGTATTATACCACCCAAACGTACCATGTAATAATACATTTTACAGACACCCCATAAATATATATATATACACACACACACACACATACGCAAGAAAGCATGCACACGCACATTCACAATGAGCCAAATACACAAAACTTCTTCGAATATAACACCAAGTGTTACAATTTCAAATGATAATGATAATGATGATGATGATGATGATGATGATGGAATAATTGCAAAATAAGAAAAATTTCTAATTAACGATACTCGCAAGAATATTGCTAGAAAAAAAAAAAAAAAAAGAAGAAAACTAACGGACGGAGAGAAAAGGACCCGCGATACGATGCCAAAAAAGATACAAAAAATATTATGAAAAGAAAGAGGTTATGTTGTTTCAAAAGAGCGGGGGAGTTGATATTAAAAAAAAAAAAAAAACAAAAACAAATGAAAAACCAAGACTTTCATCGAAAGTTAGAGAGAATATATATATATATATATATATATATATATATATATATATATAAAACTTAGTATTGTAATTATATAAATTGCATTATATGTCGTATAAACATGTGTGTGTGTTACGTTTCATGGATGATCATTTTGAGAAGAAGAAAAAGATGAAAGTTATTGAGAAAATTATTGAAAATAAAACTGCGTCTTCAATTTTTAGATAGGCACTATCCAATGTAGAATACTTCTTAATTCTAATGAAAAAAAAAAAAAATAAATAAATAAAGTCATTCACGAATTATAAGAAAGAATGATATATATATATATATATATATATATATATATAAAACAATGAGATTAATTAATTGAGAATAAAAAAAAGTGGTGAAAATACAAAGGAGGAGCGGGGGGGGGTGATAAAAAAAGAAGAATTCTTTAAAAAAAGGAGAAAAGTATCATCTCGTAGTACCAAAGTTTTTGATGTACTCTTCTAATCCCACCGATTATATTTAAATGTGTACCTTAATCTGTGTCCACTAAAGATGAAATAAAATACATATATATAAATTATCCTATCTTTCAAATTGGATGAAACTGCACAGGGTGTGCAAAATTTGATTAAAATCAGTTCAGTAGTTTAGGAGTCCATTGCGGACAAACAAACGTGACATGTAATTTATATATATTAAGATAAGATATATGTATATATGTATGTATGTATGTATGTATTTATAACAAATTATTATACATACATACATATATATATTTATATATATAAATAAATAAATAAATATATAAATATAATTAATATATAATATATAAAAACGTACGCGAGTATAAAAAATAAAAAAGAATAAAAAAAAAAAAGAAACCACTCTTATTACATTTTACGATTGCTGCGTACTACTATTACTATTACTATTACTATTACTATTACTATTACTATTACTATTACTATTACTATTATTACTACTATTTACTACTGCGTTTTACATAAACGTCGTGTTGTTATATTTTAAAAACGAATCGTCGTAATACGATCGTGAGAAAAAAGAAAAAGAAACAAAATGTTTTCCTCTCTTTTTTTTTTTTTTCTTCTCTGTCCGATTTTTCATAGAGGTGAGGAAAGGGGACAATTATTTAGTCGAAATTCGAATAAAACGAAATATGTAAAAAAGAAAAAAAATGCCAATGAATTAATAAATAGATGGTGTATAATTAAAAACACACACCTGTTCGAATTAAAACAAAAAAAAAAACAACAAAAAACAAAAAAAAATTATATAAATTTACATGTTTGATTCACACAATCCAAGAAGTTCATCGTTTTAAAAAAACAAAATGCACATATTGTCTCGTAGTAAATATCGTAGATAAATATTTATAAAGAAAAAATAATGAATTAAAGAAGAACAACAATAATAATAATAATAATAATAATAATAATAATAATAATAATAATAATAATAATAATTAAAAAAAAAATACATTCGATTCAATTAAAGACACGAAAGTCTATTTACAAAAAAAAAAAAAAAAAAAAAAAAATAAAAAAAAAATAAATAAATAAATAAAAAGTGGGATAGAGAGGAAAAGGGGGTGTGTTATAGTAAAACCAAATGATTTAACAATACAATATTTAAAAATAATAAAAATAATAAAAAGAAAAAGAAGAGAAATAGAGAAAGAAGAATAAATTAATACAATTCAATGTTTTTTTGTATCAATATTTTATTTTAATTATTTATTTATTGTTTTTCTTTTTTTTTCTATTATATTGTTTTCTTCTTTTTTCTTTTCTTTTATTCTTATTATTATTATTATTATTTCTAATTAATTCACATTTGCCAAAAATACGACACAGCTCGATATTCACTGACTAAGCCATATTTTTTATATCCATATATATAGTTATATTTATATATATATATATATATATTATTTTTTTCTTTTATTATTAGAACGTGATTAAAAGTTCGTGACTATAATTGTTATTTTTTATATACATTTATATATATATATATTTTTTTTTATTGTTTTTTGTTGATTTTTTGTTAAATTACGATTAGATTATTAAACACACATACACACATCCACACACATAAATACACGGGCGTTGTTGTTAAACACGTAAGAAGTATATATATATATATACATAAATAAATAAATATATTTGACTCGCACTGAAAATATACGATGAATCAAATCGGTGGTGCGTTAAAACGAGAGAGATAAGTAAACAAAACAAAAACAGTCAAATAATATTAATAATAATAATAATAATAATAATAATTCTTCAAAATGAATGAAAAAAAAAAAAAACTTGTTCTAAAATTTCTCGAAGAAAACGTCACTTTATCCTTGTTTTTTTTTTTGTTCAAATTAT